GATTTTAAAGAAAGTATGTTGTAATAATGCTGTTGTAAGTAATATTTTAAATGTCTTTTTTGCCTGTTTTCTATTATTCAGCACACTTACTGTGATGAATGTTCATAGCATTATAAAACTGCTTAGCCACTGAAAAGTAACATTTGGTTTTGAATTATTTTACTGTATGAGGAATTATAGTGGGGTAAATTCCTTTGTGAAATTCTACATAATTCATTTTTCTATGATTTCCAATGTTTGCTGACATCAAATAAAATTTTTTCAAGCCATTGATGTAATAAAATACGTAGTAAAACGTTATTGATGTAAAACACTGCTCTGAAACGTGATTGATCACCTACCTCTCCAAGTTTGGTCACGAGAGCCACCAGCGGGGGGTTTGCCCTCTTGGAGCAGCGGTCGCCGGTCGCTGCTGAGCCCCAGCTTTGGGAAACTCGCTCAGACCTTCCTAGGGCCGGGGTGCCTAGAGCTGTCTGCCGCCCGAGGGCAGGCACTGGTCACACCGGTGGCCCTGGAGGGACCCGTGCTGCTCCTTTTCTGCCCGTGCGGCGTATTCCTGTATTCTTTCCCCCGGCCGTGCTGGCAGTGCTGCTGCGAGGCAGCTCCAGAGCTTGGGGAGTGCTGGGACCGGTCCTGGCTCGGTGCTTCCAGCCCAGAGCCAGAGCCTGGCCCGTAGGGTATGGATGGAGACGACCTGGCTGCCTGTCACTGCCGTAGTGAGTACAGACTGCTGTCTGAGGGCTAGCCACCTGGCTATACAGCTTAACAAATTGCCCTCTTTGGCTGCAACAAAAGAAATGCGTTTAAAATACACGGCAAAAACGGCATCGTGCCCTTCAAGCCCAGCAGTGTGTGGATGTCGCTACCCTGCGTGCTCCAAATGGCAGGAAACTTTGCACTGGGGTTGCACCTTGGGATTTCCCGAGGTAATATTTGCTGTCTTCCCATGCTGGACGCAACAAAGCATTGCATGCAGGAGAACAGACAGGACACTATAGGGCAGGTAAAGGAAACTGCTTTGTGTCGTCCTGTTGCATTCAACAGGTAGGTTGCCAGCAGTGCTCTGTGAGCTTTTTGGGTATTGGTACACAGTAAATGGTTTGCTTGCATGTGTTAAATCCAGCAGAACTAATACAGCGAGTTACTGCGGTGGTTTCCAGTGCTAGTAATGTATGGAGGGCAGCAATTAGTCATGCCCTCATATACTGAAAAACTGGCAGGGTAGGGAAGCACAGAGAGTGTTTTTCTGGGGGGTGTTTTACTGCAAAAAATCTTTGTAATTTTCCTGGTGGTGGAGACTGCAGTACCAGGACAGTACGGGAGTAACCGAGTAATCAGCTTCTTTTGCAGAGCTGTCTGACTTGGATCTTTTCAGCCCTTAACCTCCAAAACCAGCCACCTCTTCCTGCCCACACATTTCCCCCCCCCTCCCCCAACCCCAAGAAAAAGCAAATGAAACAAAGGAACTTGGTAAGTTTAAGGAGGGAAGAAGCCTGGGACTGCTGTGCCCAAACGTGTACCTGAGGAATCTCCTGAAGAGGCTGGGAAGCAAAAGTAAAGCAGTGGTGGTGCTCCCATTTTTGAGAGCAGAGGTGCTACATTTCTTCCTAGTGATGGTATGTATTTGTAAGTGGGGAGGCAGGGCTGAATTAATGCTGAATGGAATTTAAAATGCTAATTTTAATGCTGTATTTAGTACTCCTGAAGGCTCGTTTCCTATATAAATAACTAGGCACCTAAGCTTCCACTGTAGAAGTTTTAAGGCATCAGCTATTGTGGTTTAGACTTGAGGGTCTAAATTTAATTAAGTTTTAGACCCCAACTCAGAAGGGAGATATGGGCAAACCTCAGTTCCCAAAGCACGTGTGTGTGTCCTCCAGGACATTCCCATCTCTGCCAGCCGTCAGTATGAGCAGCACCAAGAGCTTCCTCCCAGCACCAGAGCGGCCTCACAGGGTGCAATATATAAACTGGAGAGGCTGAACTTGAAGAGTACACTGCTGTTGTGTGCTGAGATCTTAATCTAATGCCCAAAAACCAGCTTTAGGAAATCAAACAGTGTTAAGTGGGGTTTTCATTCCATGAGCTAACTTCAAGTGTGAAAGATAGAGCATCGTGTGACAAAACTGGGTGCCAAACGTCATCTCCTGCTCTGGCTCATCTACCAAATTCTTTGAACCAGTAAGAAACACAACTTCTGGTCTTCCTTTTAATAAATAGTAAACTATGTGTGCTTTAAAAAACAAAACAAAGGTGTGCTGACAGAGGTAGGAGAACCGTTTGCTGAAAAGGGGAGGGAATTACTATAAAATATTAAGGGAACTAGCATCTGAAGTCATCGAGAAAGGAAAGTCTTGAGGTCAGTAGCATGCAGGGGGTCTGAAGTTTCATCAAAAATGGAGAAATTACCTGGAAGTTTCCCCTACTCAAACAGAGAAAGTTCGCTTGGAAGTTTGCATAATGCAGCCTAAAATATGGCAACGGAGAGCAGGGATTAGAAAGATTGCTCAGGCAAGAAGTTTAGCCTGTGAAGATCAGGCAATGGGAGTAGGAAGACAACTGACCAATGTCATGCTCATTGGTGTTTGTTTTCTGCTGGTGGTGACTGAAGGAGAGGCAGTGACCTGCACAAATTTTGGATGGACGTTTTGCTGCGGTTTTCTCTAAGGCAGTCTGGAAGAGGAGGTGTGAGATAATGGAAATGAAATCCACACGTGGGAACTGGGGGTAGCTTCTGTGCGTCTGCACACTTTGGGGGAGCAGATATAATGTGTCTGAAGCCTAGCATGCGAAGACCTGAATAAGCTTTTAGAATGGAGGATGATGCTATGCAACTGATAAGAGTGCACTGATATCTAAAAGCAAAAGATGAATAGGAGATCCAGGCAGCTGCAGACTTCCTGATACTACCTTGTGTGTGCAAGGTTTAGAATATCTCCTGATTGAAAGGAGTCTGAGGAGGATTAATAAAATAGAAGAGTGTACACAGTGGGTTTGGCAGAGAGACTTGTGCCAGACGAGTCAGTCACGAGGCGTGGGATTCATCAGCGGGTTTGGTTATCGCTGCCTGAGCTGGTCGCCCAGAATCCCTCAGAGAGAAATAAGCTTTCCTAGGGTGTAATTAATTTAATCCTAAATTATATGTTGAAAACTGATCTAATGTATTACACCCTGAAAGTGCTCATTTCTCTCCTTTGATTACACAGAGCCTGGGGCTCTGCCTCAGATGTGGAAGCTGGGCACGAGCCGCGTTAGTACCGTGGCGAGCGCTAACCCCGGGAGGACAAGGATGCGACGAAGACCCCTGCGTGGCAGCGTTATGAGTTGTGTTTCCAGCTAGATGAAACGTTAGTGCTGTCGTACCAACGGTGTGAAAAGCTGCTCGGGGGTATTGTGTGTGATCTGAGTTCATCCTCTTGAAGATGGATCAGCCCAAAGAGAAGGAAGCAGCGGCAGTGCGTGGGTTTGCTTTGCTCAGGCAGGTGGGACAAGGGCTGGGGGTTGTGCCCCTTCCCTGGAAATGGCACCCCTGGGGTCACCACTGAAGGGAGGCAGCCTTGGTGGGAGGAAACCTATGGTGGATTGTAGTCTGCTTGTAACCTTGGTGAGGTGATTCTTCCTGATTGGGGTTCAAATCTCTCCCCCAGTGCTCCGTTCTGCGAGCAGGTGAAGGAGGTGCTGGGGTTACTGAGCTGGGCTCCATTTTGCAGAACTCTTCCCAACTCCACACTCCTCGGTACAGAGGAGCGTTGGGCAAGCTGCCTTTGCCAGTTGGGTCCACCCTTTCTGGTGGGACAGTAGTGGTGTTGAACCACAGAGATTTGTGTGTTGGTAGGGCCACTATAGGCCTCCACTGGGAGCTTCTCCCTGTTTTGGGAGCTCTTGGGTCCACGACTGTGCTCCGCATGCAGCCCATGGGATGGAGATAAATGCCTTGGGGACAGGGACACTAAGAGAAAGGTGCCTTTGGCCAAGCAGTTCTGTAGTGGCACCCTGGTCTGGATTTTGCACTTGCTGCTCTGGGTGAAGGAACTGCTTTGGGGTAGCCTCGCCTTGCTCCAGGTGCCTCGCTCTGCCTTGGACCGCAGCCTGCAGCCGCTGGGCCGCTTGCCATTGGGATGCAGCAGCTCTGGGGCCTCGGGCTGCTGCAGGGAGGGCTTGGGAAGGGCGTTCGCAGGAACATCAGCAAGCCTCGTGACTGCTTCTACAGATCACTGCTACTCTGGGGTATGTGCTGTTTGTGCCAGTGGTTGTTTTATTTAGTTATTTATTTATTTTTATTCTCTTTCTTTGCATAAGATGAAACATTTGTTATAGGAAGGGTTGGTTGGAGGAATCTGTTTCTTTTAATTTCAATAGTTGCTGGATGTCGAGCTTACCCAAACTGCAGCCTGGCACGTCCCATAGTCATGTCCATCTCCAGCGCTTCTGGATTTCTTGTCCTGCTTTCCTGTAGAAGGGTCCCTACTCCTGTCCTGTGCTCTTTCCTCCTGAAGGAGGATTAAATCTGCGTCCTGCCACAAGATAGAGTGGGAAGTCTGGGCTAGAGCTGGAAACTTCCACAGCTTCTAAACAAACGTCCTCAGGGGGGTCCCAAATTTTAGTTGCTTGCTGAAATATGCCTCTGATAACAGACCTGGCTTTCCTGTGACTTGGTACCTCATAAGAACTCTAGAAATATACCTGTACTGGGAGAAAACAATCATCGGACCCAACTGCTGTTCTTTTGGGCCCTGTGTCCCATTTCTCTTGAAGAAACTGTTCAGGTCAGCACTGCTAAAATTCACTTATGATGAAAAGGTTATTCTTACCTATTTAATATCATTTTTGGCCTTTCCAATGCAACTTTAGGGACAGCTTTTCTGATGTCAAAGTAACTTACACCTCTGATCAGTATGCTGTGCTGTTAATGCTCTGCCTTTTAAAAATAAAAAATAAAACCAAGTATCTTCCTCATGCTGTTATTAATGTAACCAAGGGGGGGAGGGGGGGGGGGGGAAGCTGTTGATTGTTGATTGAAATGTTCTTCTTTAAGCTAATTTCCTTTTGTAGCATGGCTAGTTCTCTCTCCTTGCGTGATCAAGTCTCTCTGGTACAAATATTCCTAGAAGATACCTTTTAAGTTTAATCACATTCTCCTTTAAAAGTGTTTGTACAAAGATCCCGCTTCCCACAATTAATCATGCAAGGCCCTAGGTGCAGTGGTGCCGTACTCTGGAGGCAAGCAGTGCCCATGCCTGTGCTCCACCACAAGCAGGCTCCGGGTTTGACTTTCAATGAGTGACCCAGAACCACAGGGGGATTTAGCAGCAGAAAAATAATTTGAGAGAGTTGTGATATGGACATAAGGAAGATAAACTAGTCAGGCAATTTGTTACGAACACTGCCTTTAGCCCTGGGCACGGATGGATGGCTTCTCTTCCTACAGGAGGAACTCCTGTTTTATTTCTGTCCAGTGTTAGCAATGAGTGCTGGGATCTGCCCACGGCTCCAGATTTGCAGTTCCGAATCCGGTGTAAAGAAAAAAAGAAGCGTAATAAATAACTGTGAACTGTCTTGTGTCTTCAGTGCCCTCGCACGTGCACTGCCTAGTGACTCCATAATGCGAAATTCACTCCATCCTCTTCTGCCAGACTCTCCGGATGCAGATAAAATCTCTTAAAATAAGAAAACAATTTTATATAAATTAATTAATGCCCCCCTAACTTCTGCAGGATTTCCCAAAGTATTTTCTGCTTAATGCTTTAAATTTGGAAGTCTCCCCACGCTAGGATGCTGCTGCTTATAGGCGTTAAATAGCACAGAGCGTGATTCAAGCCTTTTCAGGTGCTTTTCCACAGTCTGCAGTAAGAGTGGGACCAGGTGGACAGTAAATAACTTCATAACTTCAGAGTAAACATAGTTTAAGTGATTACCCACCAGTCTCTCATTAGCGTTTGGGGCCAAGCAGAAACTTGACAAGGAAGGATGTGCCTTGCTAACAGAGCAATGTGCCAGCACGCTGAGAGAAGCAGCAAGATTTCAGCAATGCTTGATCAACCAGGGAGAGCATCTGGCACCTCTGAACTGCTCGTGTTTGTTGGCTGGGGAACCTTTCTGAGGCCTTTGAGGAGGCGAATATGTTGCGTTCAGAAACCCTGCTTTTTACTTTGTGGTCAAAGTAAAAATCAAAGCTGGATCAAACTGCTTATTCTCAAGGGTTTGAGACTATGTTAGCAAGAAGGCAGTGCCTTCAAACCTGCACACAGTCCAGTTTTCTTTCTGTAATGCTTTTGTTTTGCTTTGGTATGAAAGGAAAAAGTAATCTGCAAAATCAAGTAAAGAGTGTTGATGCTATTTTTGTTGCTGCTTTCATATTTGAAGGTTGCCTAGAAGGTAGTGGAGTCATTTCTGTTTTCCTTGCAAAGGTGAATTTGTTGTTTTCATTTAGTAACTCCTTCTTGTTTTTCCTTCCTCCTGGGACAGAGAGGTCACAGTGCTGTGTAGATGAGAGCTGAGTAATTGAGATGGTTTTAAATGTCTTTACACTTTACTAAAAAGTTTAATGTTTACTTAATGCCCCATAAACACTCAGGAGAATAAACCTTTGTTTAAAAATTCAGAACCTGGTAAAGGCTTCAAGCAACTGCTGTTCGCTTGGGGGGACTGACAGCACTGCTGAGAGCCATTAACAGGCTCCTGGAGGAGGAGCAAACTATAATTTCTGCTAATTTCTGCCAGAGCTAAGCTGATGATAACTCACCTGTGAACAAGGGTAGAGAGTGGTAATGCCAGCGTGAAAGTGGACTGGAAGTACTGGGATGCGTCCTTTCTGTGGATGTTAAAGAAGTCCTAGTATAATGCCCAGGTAGGGCTTGGTTTTCCAGTCTGTTGGAGAAAAAAATGTAATGTGGCACACTGTAGAGGAGCAGTTATGTCTATAAGGAAGAAAGTGTTTCCCAATAGCCATGATGCAGGGCTACCAAAAGTGCCAAGAGTGCCATTTTGGGCAGCTCAGGCAAATAAAGTGTCATACAAGAGATCTGGAGCATTTGCTTAGTAGCAAAGGATGGCTTTCGGCTTGTGTAGAATAAACCCTATGAAACCTCAGTGCTGGTGGGAGGGAGGCTGTCCTGAGGAGCTGCGTGTGGCTGTGTGCCTGGCCCTGCTGGGGGAACACTGCAGAGGCTGAGGTCGAGTGTCTGAATGTCAGGCTGGAGGGGTGAGGCCCTGGCTGGGTGCAAGAAACTTCTGGAGAGAGACGTCCATGCAGGCCTGCTCCTGAAGGCCTGTGTTTCCTGCCCTTGGCACTGGCTTGCTCTGTGGCACTGATGGTGTTTGTAGCAGATTTTCTGGAAAGTCCTACCCAGGGATAACCAAAGGGCAGATGAAAATGCTCAGATAACTGAGGATTGCTGTTAACAGATAACTGTTCACTCTGCCTCGGTCCCACTGTTCCTGAGTGAGCAATTTGGCCTGTTTTCCAGGCTGGCTCTGGTTGCACGTCACAAGATCCATTTTTCATGATAAACTTTATGGCAGGTTGTTTTCTTAATATAGCTGGGGCTTTGGAGAATGCTGTCCAAATTTCTTTAGCCTGTGACTATTTTGTTTCTAAATGAGTTGTTTTCGTCGACGGACCCCAAGGGCTGCTTGCCTGGGTGGCTCTAGCTCGGTCTGTTTTATTTTTCATATACTAATTATTCCTATGAGATTCAGTTTGTGATTTCTGTTCAGCTGTTTAGGTGTCTCAGTTGTGAAGACAAAGTAACATGTCATTTAAGTAAATTAGTATGTGAAAATTGTGTGTCCTCAAGTGCTTGATTAATGCTTGCAGAAGTCTTTGGAAGCCACGTGTGTGTAGCTGGAAGCCGGGCAGTGTGCGCTGCTGTCTTAAATATTACCTGCAGCAGAAGCTTGGGAATAAATCACAGACCCTACAGGAGGAAGGGGCACGGATGTGTGCTCTCATTTCCTCTCTTCTGCCCCCAACAAGAAAAAGGGATTTCATGTGCTAAGCTTGATGCAAGCCCAGATTCCTCTGGCCATTCGAAGATACTGAAATCAGCATCTTAATTAAATTAAAGCATCTATCTATTGTCGGGTTGTGAAGCTGAGGTTTCAGGAGGGTGATGGCAGGAATGGAGAGGTGTTGGAGGAAAGTGGTGCGAGTTCTTTGCATGCAGAAAGGAGGCACCTGGTGTGTGTCACACTGCAGGAGCAGAGAGGAGCCCGCAGCTGGAAGGGCTTCTGGGGGAGACAGCTTCTGGCCACAGAAGGTGGGCAGGTGCTGCTGCAGCCCAGGCTGCCACGGGGCCAGAAATCAGCTCTTGACAAAGGAAGTCCTGGAAATGAGGCGGCGAAGGGAATTAATCGTTAGCAGAGCTGAGTGACAGGTGTGCCACATCCTTTATTGCTGCGAAACTTTGAGTTCGGAAGTCTTTCCACGCAAACTGTTCCTTGACAGTTTGTGTTCAGCACAGGAGTGCCAGGTGGCACTTCCAGCCGGTGTTTTGCCAGCACTGGTAAAGCTCTGAGGGGAAGAGGCTGGGAAAGGTGTTCCCAATGGCTCCTGAAAGCTATTAATCTTGTCAGATGACAGCCCAAGTAATATGTAGCCCAACGGCTTGGGAAATGCTTGAATAAATTATGAATCACAGGTGATTTATTCGGGGGGTTTCTCTGAAGAGAAATCTAGATGGCTGTAATTTGAGGGGGAGGCATAACCTGTGCTGGAAAGCATGAAGGACCCGCACCTGTAGTGATAAATGACCAAGTGGGATGAATTCATGCGGGTTTTGAAGGCCAGCAAGGCCCATACTGATGATTTGTGTGGATTATCCCGCCTATTTCCACTCAGGCTTTAATAGCCCTAATCCATCTCAGACTCTGCCCCACAGCTTCTGCACAGGGACCCCTTCCTGACCCTCATCTGGCCGTACTCATGGCTCTCCTGGGCCCCCTCAGTGACTGCAGGTCTTTCTGGTGCCTCTGTCCCGTGTTCCTCCAGTGCCTCTGGGGCAGGGTTGTAAAACTGCAGCTGCTTTCTGATTTACCATGTGTGATTTCCATGCGTCTGACTTCAGGTGGGCCTCCACAGCTGTCAGGGGCAGCAGCAGCCCCAGATGCCCTCCCACAACACACGCATGTGTGTGTTCACGTGTCCCTCACCTTCTGCAGGGCGAGATGCCTCCCCCGGGTCTGGCAGTGCTGGTATTTAGCTCGAGGGCCTCGTCGGGCCTTCTGAACCAACGGTGCTGTTTTCTTCAGGAGGTGATGTCTCAGAGGACAAGCCATCTATGTAGGCAATGGCAGGAGCTTGCCTTAATTGCCCCTTTCCCCCCTTTCCTCTCCCACACACTTCAGCAGTTCCTGTAGGGTAAGAATACCAATTTATTCGTAACGACTTCTGCTTGATGTGACTGTTTCCCTGGCCTTCATCATATCTCTGTGCTTCCAGAACATCAGCTCTGTCACACCTGTAATTTATTTTTTGAGCTGTAGCTCTTGGAAAGGTGCCCAGGCTTGACTTCAAGCAACAATGAATTCACAAGGTCCCTAAGCAAGTTGCTTCAATAGTAAGTTACCTTTGCTGCCTTAATTTGCCCAGCATTTTTTTTTTCTTTCCACTTGGTATCTCTCACTGCATCTCCTTCTGCTAGACTAAAGGCTTTTATCAGGCACTTCTTCCCAGCCAGGTACTTAGAGGTGTGTCAGAGTCTCACTTGGGATGGACCGAGTAGCACAGTTTGTCTGCTCTTCTCATGAAAAAGCAAACTTTATAACATCGAAATCACTCCTGTCACCCTCCCCTCAGAACCATGGTGTTTGGGATTGGCTAGCACGTGGCGGTGAGTCTCCCTTCACCCCTGTTTCCTGGGATAAATTGTCCGATATTTATGTTATCAGATAGGTTTCTGCTTTATAGCTACGTTGAAGATGCTTTGGAAGCCAGAGAGCCCTTTTAGCATGATCTTATTTACAAGGCGTTTCTCTTAGAAAACTGATTTCCTTTCTTTGTGTGTGTCCTTGTGTGCTGGCCGCAGCTTGCAAGGGAAATAAATGTATGTGTGTGGCTGCTCTGCCTGTTGGAGCAACCTGGCAAGAGCCCATCTCCCAGCATGGTGGAGGATACTGAGTGCAGACAGTGATTAAATGTTTGTCTAGCAAGCAGAGCAGTGTGTTAAGCTGCCTGGAGGAAAAGCAGGCTTGTGGGACTGGAGCTAAGCTCATTCATTTTCTGATCCCTGAGCTAATCTAACTGAAAAAATGAAATACAAAATGAGAGCAATTCTGCAGTCGCTGCAAATATGCCTCTAATTGGCAAAGGCCAGAGGAGAGGCTTCAGGTGTTAAAAGCACGTCCCTAAGGCAGGTTGTGGCTGTCAGGGCCTGAGAGGGGGCACTGAGATCTGGAGGCAAAACCTGTCCCTGGGGCAGGAAAGGGGGCTTCAGCTAACGGGGCAGGGGGGGCTCCCGTCCCCGTGTCCCTTCACAAGGATGCTGGAGGTGATGGGGAGCACGATAGACCAAGTGTGCCGGTCTCTTCCTGCAGCATTTTGCCTGATGTTGCCTCTCATTCAGAGGCACTGCTGTCGGGCTGCTGTTCCCCGCAGCGCTCCTCTGCGCCTGTGCTTTCGCCGCCGTAAGGAGCGATGGGGAAATCATCCTCCAGCAGCGCACCGAGGTGGCTCATCAGTATGCCAGGCAGGTCGGCTTCAGCCTTTAACTTCTCCTCCTGCTCTTCTTCCCCCCCCCCCCCTTTATCTCCCGTGCCCACCTGTTGCAGTTTGATCCAAAAAACTGGGGGGGATCCGGTGCTGCCTGTGAGCACGGTGCCCAGGAAAACCAAGCGCCGATCCCTGCTGCAGCTCCTGCGAGCAAATACTGAGCACGGTGAGGGATTATCGATAAGAGCCCTGCGTAGACTTGTTGGGCAGGAAATGCCGGGCACAGACGGGAGAGCCTGGTACAAAGCTGAGGACACTCGTCAGTACGCAGTAACTGTAGAAACCGACGGAGCAAAAATAAACACGTTCTAGCAGCATTGCTAAATTGCTCATAAACCTTTACCCCGACAGCACGGCCTGTGTTGTTCCAACTCAACCCAAGTGCAATCGGTTGAAATGGGAAAAGGGCACGGGGTGCTCGGTGCCAGTCGGAGGCGGCTGACGGCTGAACCCTCGTGAAGGTGAGCTTCCAGCCGGGGATGGCAGCGCTCGCACCTCATCTCCTGGAGGATCGCTTTGCCCCTCAGTTGATGAAAGCATCTCCGGAGTCTGAAATAATTGGAAGGCTCTGGGATCTGTAAAGGAGGCTAAAGGAACAATAAATGAAACTATTGAAATCGCCCCCCGTTAGCACTGACATGAAAGTGCGGGCAGCGCTTCAGTCGGTTGGTTAGGAGGAATCATTATGTAGATGCTCGATTCTGACCGAGTGGGATTTATTGGAGTCAGCCTGCTGCCATCCATGAGCAACAGACAGAAATTATGTTCTGCACTGGGAGAGAAATTTGCAAACCCCGGTACAAAATGAGTAATAAGGGTAAATCAATTTGAGATGCACTGTGCTTATTCTGGGAACAGCAGAATGTGCAGCAGCAGCATTTAGCTCAATTGGTAGTGTTAGATAAAATGCTACATTTCATACGCAGACATTTACTGGTATTTCCTTTATTTTTAGAAATACACTTGGCTTTTATAATCACACTTCATTTTGGTGCTGCAACAGGATTATTGGGAAGAGGACCCAGTGGCATAGATGCTGGGTTTCTTCTTGAGCACCGTCCCTGTGTTTCTTCAGGTCTTGGCAGTAATTAGGGCCTGAAGTCCCTGTGATTTACAGCAATCCCAGGGTGAGGCACACTGCCCATGTCCCCCACCATGTCCCCATGCTGTGCCGTGGGCTCTGTCCCCAGCCTTTGAACAGCACCTTCAGGAACGTGTCCCCTCACAGGGCACGTCCCCAGGCCACTGCGCTCCGCAAAGGATGAATAAAAATGATCGTGGCTTTTTTTTCTCCCCCCTCTAACAGAGAACTGTAATTAAATGTCCCTTTCCTTAATGGCTCCTATGGTAATTTGAGACAACTTATTAAAGGCTCAATTACTGCTGGTACTGTACAGCGCTGCCTAAGCATGCCCAGCACCCCGAGCAAGGTCAGGGGCTGCGGTGGGAGATGCGGTGCTGATGTACATCAGGATGCGGCTCCTGCCTTAATGACCTTGCTCTCAGCACAGGGTTGGTGTCTGCGAGCCCCTGAAGGAGGCCTTTTTTTAGAAATCTTCCCTGAAAAATAGGAACTAGAAGAATACCATACCATGATTGCTTTTAAAGAGAAATGGTAAGTCGCTGGAAATGTTACACAGACCTTTGTCAGTCCACGCTTGGGCATCTTGATGTGATGGACCAAAGGGGAAGCAGCTGCATTCAGTAAAACAGGAAATTTCCTACATGAAAATCTACCTGAGTAAGGGCAATGCAGAGATGAAGTGTCAACATGAAGCTTCAGCTGAGGAAAGGAAAATATATTACAGCTGTGAGGAGAAAATGAAAAGAAATTCAGCTTGCTTTACATGTACGTTTTGCTAGGACTTCTACCGTTCAGTCAGGCTTCCTCGCATTAAAAAAAAAAAATAAAAAAATTACAGTTGGTTAAAAATTAAACTGTCCCATGTGTACGAGTTCAAGGGACCGGGCCGTTTTTTGAAATGTTTACTTCATGCACTTACACTAATTGAAATGCTAGTTATATTGAATGAGTCTTTAAAAAAGCCCTGGCCTCACTATATCCTAGCAAATGTCACGGGAAAAGGACATTTAATTATAGCCTGCTTCAGGAAAGAAAAAAAAAATCAAGATTAAATTAATACTAATGTCTGTTTGAAAAATATAATAAATGTTAGACTAGGTGAGGAAGCATGAACAATCACCCAAAGCTTTGCAGGATACTGCTGCTTGCAAATTCATGGAAAATTAAAACCCATTAGCATCTCAAGCGCTTTGTCCACGGACTGGTTTTAGCAGAAGCCGTGGCAATTCCCGGGGGCCACCGAGGAGGCAGAAGGTAGGATCCTATCCCACCGTGGGAGCTGGGGCCTTGTGCAGCTGCCAGCAGCATCCCCGTGGGTCTCCAGGAGTCATGGGAAGGGGAATCGGGGGTCTCACAGCTTGATGAGGGGTGAGGCTGCAGGGTGCACGTGGCTCTTGGCTGCCCGTGATGGATGGGGCACAAATCCCATCACTACCTGGCTGGATGTAATGCTTGGATGTAGCAAATTGTTAAATATTCTTGCCAGCTGAGGAAAGGCATCTTCTGCTTGTCTCTGGCTGCAGGCACTGGTTATTCCCAGAAGTGCTCTGTCTGGAGTGCTCTGGGACTCCGCGTTTCGGCCCTGGGGTCTCACAGGGTGAGTAGGAAGGAAGGACTTGTGCAGCACTGCAAAAGCAAAGCAGCAGGACCTGCTTGTGCTCAGAGCTGGCCTTGCTCCTGTGTGTCCCAAGCACCTCTGCACCCACCCCTAGTCCCCCTCACCGCTGTCACTCTGCAGTGAGCTCAGACCCAGCAGGTTTGGGTCTGCACTGAGGATGAGCAGAGCTGCCACCTCCCCTTGCTCTGAGGGAACTTGAAAGGATTTCTGTTTCTTCTACAGGAGAGCTTTCCTCTGGCAATTCTTTGTAGGCATGAGGAACATGGAACTGCCTCCCTGCACGGAGAAAAACACCTTGTTACAGGCTTGTATGCTGCCCTGGGACTGCGAGCATCACTTCCCATGAGGTGGATGAGCGTGATCCCAGGCAGAGCCAAACTGCCTCAGACTCTAAGGAGTTCCTTCACTATCACCCCCCAAAACAAACAAACAAAAAGAAAGAAAGAAAAACAACAACTAAAACCCAAAATCACTTAAACTTGTAACAATCAAGCTGTGTTTGGTTAGCGGCTGTTTCCTTAGTTGTTATGCCATGACTGACAGACTTTTAAACAGGAGACCACATGGTTACTGGTTTGTAATCTTTAATAATGTTATTTTTGGATTCTAAGGCCGATGATCTGAAATCAATATCTGTTTTCCCAGCATAAAAAGGCCTGCGCCAGCCTTGGACTGCGAATCTGGCTTCCTCCAGTATGTTCAAAAATGTTAGTTCAGTCTTTTTTTTAAAAAAAAAAAAATTCTGCCTTTCTTATTTTACTTTAGAGGTATTGCTTTCTCTATTGTCTCCACCTACTATCGGAAATCATGCTTTTATTTTGTTTTTCTTCCCTTCCTGCATGCTGGAGGTGTGGGCTCCTCTCCCTTACCCTCCGAGAGCCCCCGGCCGGGTGCTGCAGATGAAGGTTCCACGCTGGAGATGTGAAAGTTTGGGGAGATGAACCCAAGCTGAGCTGAGCTCAGTGTGTTTTCAGCCCTGAAATAGGAAGCTGTTCCTTGAAACAAACTCTTCGACATTCTGTTTTCCTCTGACATCTAGCTTAGTGATATCTACAGCAGAAATCATTTTCCTACCGCGATATCTGAGTCACTTGTTCAGCAATGGCCACAATTACATTTTCTTTTCAACCCCTTCATTGAAACTTCAGATAATCCACCCTCACATGACCGCTCCGTTTATAAGATGTCTTCACATTTATGCTGATGTTTCCTTCACTGGTTGCTGTGGCTTTCCAAGAAATCCCCACCAGCCGTTCTCCTCCTTAGCTGCTGTGGCTTGTCTTTGCACCAGGCCACTGAAGGCAGGTTTCTAAAGGTGGTGGTTTCTAAAGGTTTCTGGTGGTTTCTGTGGCTCCTCATGATGTTCTTGGTCATCAGCTGGTCCGCAGACAAAGTGCTTGAGCTGCTAGTGGGTTTTAATTTTCCGTTAACCTTTTCTTGGGCCTTGCATTTCTGGCTTTGGCTCTCTGTTGCGGTGGGATTTGCCGCCTCGTCCCCGCCGTGCCACAGCGTGGTTGTGTGCAGGGCTTGCTGCTGTCTGCAGCAGCAGTGACTCCTTGCTGCTCGTCTCAGGCTGCCATCAAATCAGGCCCTCTTAGCAGGCTCTTTTCCAGCTTTGTGTCTCTGACAGCCCTTGCAATCTAGCCTTAAACTAGGCATTTTGCTAGGCTGTGGGTTTGATATAAATCTGCTATTTCAGACCTTGGCAGCTTCTGTCTTTGTATGAAACTGATATCCCTCTATTTTTTATTTATTTTTTTTTTTGTAAGACTGCAGTGTTCTTCAGTTTCTAGTATAGTCTAATAACCAGCTTGTTCTTCCCACTTAGCTGTAGACTATTGAGCAAAACTAATCTTTTTGACTGTGAAAAATTTTATTTATTTTAAAGCCACGCTTTGCTTGTCTTCATTTGGAGTACATCTTCATAAAAATAAAATCTTGCATGAGCCTTTTTTGATGGCTTTTCTGGTGCTAGGCACCTCACTGTCTCACATTTCCAAATTCTCACAGGCAAGAGACAAGTGTTATAATCCTTTATTTAATTTCATATCTTGTTTCTCCTTCACCTTTTCTGTTTTATCCACTTGCTTCTTTGGGTTCTTAAAGCTTTGCGTGTTGGTGCCTAACTTTCCTGCGATAAAGGGAAAAGATTTTTTTTTTTTTTTTTTTTTTGAGGAAAAGCAGCAATTTCAGTAAGTTCTGTTGCCTTGATCTTGTCTGCATCCAGCATGCACTGGAGATGTAAATCCTGCCTGCAAAACTGGTGTGGCTTTCCTCCAGTCCCGAAATGCATCGTGCTGGGAAGGGAGACGGGGCTGTGGCATCCAGAGACATTTGGGTGCTTTCGAGGACCAGGAGGTTTCTTTTGACACAAGGACTTGAGACCTGATCCTGCCTTTCCAGACCTACAGGTACGCTGTTTTTTGTTTGTTTGTCTGTTTGCTTGTTTTTTCCAGTGCCCCCTTTTTTTGACAAACATGTTCTTAGCTGGCCTACCGAAAACAACACACCTTGCAATGCCATTACATGGTTTGCTTCCTAGATGATTTCTGTGAGCTGCCCTGATGGGAATACAATGATTCAAGCCTGCAGCTGTATCCTCTGGTATACAAAATCCTGAAATGACAAATTAAGCTTTCAAAAATGGGCACAGCGTAATTCCAAACACACTGCAGAGTGTTTTGTGTACATGCTGTTCCTCTGTCTGATCACCCATCATGGCTTATGAGTCTTTCTTCCCCTCCCCTATTATGTGCAGTGAAAAAATGGATTATTCCGAGCATTTGAACAGATATTTCCATCCCTCCTAATCCACAGGCAAGAGATGCTGTAATATTTATTGGCCTGGATAATGAGGATGCCTGGAGAGAAAAAAGGAGGTCCGAAATACAGACATGGGAAAAAACGTATGTATAAATATATATATATAATTTTTTTATTTTTTGTATATGTTATATATATACACATATCAGAGAAGGGAAATGTAGTGCCACATGACAATATTCTGCAAAAACTATCAAAGAGGAAACAAAGTGGTGTGTCCACTGCCTAGAAGCCAGCTGCTCCATCAACAGCAAGAAGAGCACCCTCTTCTAAAACCTCCCCAAAACTGCAAATCAACATCCTCTGAGCTGAGACAATACAAAAGGAGCACCTCTGCATTCTGTTTCTAAATTAATTTGTATTAAAAACCAAACCAAACCAACCAAACAAAAAAAAAAACATGAAGCACACATGCAAAAACCTTGACAACTCTCCAGCCACCTCTGGTTTGTTTCAGTGGCAAACACTATCCAATTTTTCTGTACAATTCCCTGGTGTCAGACTGTTTTCCTGATGCATTTTCCTTGGGCTGGAAACGTTTTGCATCTCCTTTCTCCCCTGCTCCTCGAACTTGGAGGAAGCCCTTCTTGGAGGCTGTCTTCCCCCGTCTGTGACTAATTGTTTCACATCCTGGAAAACGTAAGGGGAGGCGGCAGGTAAGGCAAAAGCAATAATTCGTTGCTATATGACCAAGATGAGGCTGCAGATGTGTAAAGCTGTGAAGCATTCCCTCACATTTACCAGCAACAGATCTGGATTTGTTGGTGGCTGTGTGTTGGAGTGGTGCCTGCTCTTGTGCTGTATTATCAGCCTGGGTAAGGTGAGGAGTTTCCAGGGGCTGTGGTGAACCAGTAAAGTGGATTATTTGGAGAAGGCTGTTCTCCGCTGCTGCAGGCTTCTGCTTGTGGTGGCCAGCACTCACCTCACGCACACAGCTCGAACCCTTTTGGACTAGTGGGGAAAAAATCTTTGAAAGGAAATAGAGATGTGGAGATTTGGGACCGACCTTGGAGGGGGCGCTGATGCTCTTTCCCTGAGCAAGGCACAGCTCCCAGGTCAGTGCTGGGCATGGCACAGGGAGCAAAGGCAGGAGGAAGGGCATGTCTCCTGCTCCTGCCACCCTCCCTTGGCCATGCTTTCAAGCTGGGTTTGTGCACCAGGTGCCAAGGCGAATATGATTGCTGAGCTTCCTTCACTTGATGGTGGTGAGCAATTGAGCAAACAGAGTGTTTCAGAGTGGGGAAACAGCAAATGAGGGCGTATCATGCAAGGGTTGTTAGGTGTCATGCTGTGTCCCCAGCTTCGATTGCATGGTGTTGTAAGAGCATCTCAGGCTGCAGCGAGCACAAAACTCCGGGTCTAGGCTTGTAAATTGAACTATTCCTTGGAATTTGAACATCCTAAGTTTAAATTTCCCCCAGGGCAGATGATCTTCCAGTGATATCATGAGAATTAGTCAGAGGAGGAGGGGAGCAGCCATTAGAGCAGTGGCATCACCCCTGTTCCTGGCTAGTTGCCCGTCACAAAGGAGACCATGGGGGTGGTGTAGAGCACAACCCCAGCCAGAATGCTGTCAGCTGTGACTTGAGGTGCAGTCAGATGTGCCAGTTCCTATCAGCAATGAGAAACTTCACGTCCTGGACCTGGTGCTTGCTTCACAGGTCCCGGGCACACCCGTCTTAGCAGCAGGCAGCAAGGTTTCTGCTTTACCAGCTCCTGGACAACTTGGCAATCTGCAGGTCAGTCTCCTGCCAAACTATGATCTACAGCTTATCACAATGTATGCGGTACTGAGTGCTGCTGGCTGGATCTGGCCTTTAAAGGCAATGTGAAATGGGTATTTCAAAGGAACTCCCATTGTTCAGCCAACACAGCCTAGCTCCTTCAGGTACAGGGAGTAGGTGTGCAAAGTGAGGGAGCGCTGGGACTGGGTGCCTGGGCTGTCATCACGGGGACCGCTCTGTGCAAATGAGCGACAGCTCTGCATCTGCTCAGGTTGAGGGCGACATCGTCAAGCACTCTTTGCTCATTTGGGCTCTCCAGACACTGCCTGCAGTGTAAGAGAAAGCAGACAGGAGGTAGAAAAGGAAAATCCGATTCTTATTATCTGTGAGCTTGAAATGCATAATAGAGATAGTGATCCACCCCGCCTTCCGTAACTGTACACAATGTTAGCTAAACCATTGTTTATTTCTGTGTCTGTGGAGTATCAGTAACTCCTGGAGCGCTCTTTCCCTCTGTGTACATAATGTAAGTTGCAAGTGATTTTATGAGAGGCTGCCTGTTAGTGAAATGCTAAACCAGCGCTGCAGCTGACTACGTTTCATTTGGGTGTCTTTTGCTTCTCCGTTCTGGACCAGCAGCCAACTGTGACTCAGGTTCCAGATAAGACGCTAAACAGAAGCAGCTATTGTAAGCAGCCTCCTCTCTGCCTGCTCTGCACTCTTATGGTAGTTTTAGGAGCAGATGACCCAAAGAAATGCATTTAATAACCACGGATATTAGGGTGCGGTGGTCCGAGGAGCTCTGCTCTTTGGCCAGGCTGCAGTCACTGCCTGCTATTGCTGTCCCAACCCCTGGAAGTTATTGTGTGTGCCTTTAACCTGAGCGGCCGTGCTGCTGGGTTGGGTGCCACCCTGTATAACTCACAGGGAGAGATCAGCCCAAGCAGCCAAATTCATAGCCATGACTATAGGAGATCATTACAGGTCCTTGGTTTTGAAGCAGCTATACTGTGAACTTCTGAAGGGAAACTTCAGTTCTGCCCCATCTAACCAGGCAGCTCAGGCAACACTCAGTTTTGTTCATCCTGATGATGGTATATGATTGTTTTCTTTCAGAGATGCTTTACCTCCTCCTTTATACAGAGGTAGTAACCAGAAATCAAAAAATACGCGTAGCAAAATGTGGCAGAGCTGTTTTCTGCTGGGATTTGGGTGGTGATGTGAATTGGTGAGGCAAGGAGAGGCTGAGAAAAGCAAGGATAAAGAGCTCTTGCAATGGCAGAGGTGAAGTTCAGGAGGCCACAGAGAGCCTGGTGGTTGTAGAGAGCTGGGAAGTGGCCTGGGCAGGAGGAGGTGGCTCAGGAGGGCTGTGACACTACTCAGGGGGCACCGCCTGGTATTGAAAAAGTGAAGGGCCAAAGAGGAGGCAGGTAAAGTTACCTGAGGACAGAAAAATAGCCACCCTGCTCCCCTATTTTTGATGAAAGGGAACAATGTGTGTGCTGAAGCCCTGCCGTTTGGAAGGCAGCATGCTATGTTTAAGACCAGAGGTAACTTCATTAGAGTTGTTATATTTAGTCGGTCCTGTAAAGACTCGTATTTCTATGGAATAGCACATAGAAACTGTTACTATGTACAGCACAGTAGAAAATGTGCTTTCTATCCCACAGAGCTCACAATTTGCCTCTGCAAATTAACTTTGCTGACAAAGGTTAAATGGCAAAAGGTAGAATATTTGAATCCGTGAATTATCAAATACATGGGTGGTGAACTCTGGGGAGAAGGTCTGGCTGGGAGACCACATCTCCTATGCTTACGTGACCATACTTCTGAGGTGGTGGAGGTTTGCATGGGCACCAAGGAGCAGAGCTCGTCTGGGGACCTGCAGAGGACATCGGTTTTATGTAGAAGAGGGGAGAGTAGACAAATGGCTGCTCAAGGTCCTCAGCCTCAGCCATCCTGGTGTCTCAAAGCCCCCAGTGCCCTCCAGAGCCTTGTTCAGCTGGGTGGGGGTGTTTGCTGCCCTGCTGCTCCTCCTGCTCCCTCCTTCTGCTTGGGGACACATTTGGTGCATCAAGGCCCTCTTGTAGAGCTCCAGGAGCTTTCCCTGAATGCCTGAAATGCCAAGGAGGCAGCAATAGGTTGGCCCAGGGCATACAGGAGGGCTGGAGGGTTAATTGTGAGAAAGTGGCACCGAAACTCACCTCTGCTCCCTGGGGAGGGCCTGCAGCTGCTGCTTCCCCTCAGAGCCACGTGCGCCCAACAGGGGCCTCCACCCAGCCCCCAGCCCTCGGTCCCCAAAGGGGGACCCTGGAGGGACCCAAGGGATGATCTTGGGGCTGGGGCAGAGCCAGCCTGCACTAACTTGTGCTTGCCATTGACCTGTGTGTTAGCCAGGAGTGATTAATTTGAAAAGAGCGTGCCCCAAAGCAGCCTTGACGAGGTGGGGGTGGTGTAGCAGCACATCCCACATGGCTGCGAGACCTGTGCTCTGTGGCAGAGGGCAGAGCCTGGAGGGCAGCTCCCCACCTCAGGCTCATCCCACCCCAGGGAAAGGAGCTTGCTGAGAGAAACCATGAGTCCTTTGGAGACTTTGGGCAGGGGCTGCTCTAGGCAGTGTCCAGGGCTGGGGCCTGGGTGGACATTGGCTTGCCACGGCTGCTTTGGGACTATGAGGTGCCGCAGGCTTCACGCAGAAAGCGAGGGCTGAGGAACTGCCTTGGGCCATGAGCCTTCCTCGCGTCTCCTCTCACAGGGGAGCGTGCTGTGGGCTGCTTGCTCTTCTTACACAGCAACCAGCCTGGCCTGGAGAAGTGCCAGACAGCTACGAGCTGCAGCAGTGCCGGCGTCTTCTCACCAGAGGAAGGCCGGCCCTCTGCCTTTCCTCATTTTGGGAAGAGCAGCCACCAGGCAGGCTGTGCGTCTCCGCACTGTATCGCCGTCAGCACTGATGGGCTTGTGGGGGTAGATTTGCGACCCGGGGAGTGATTTCTGGGGAAAGGAGATAATGCTCTAGCAGGGCAAAGACTGCCTCTGTCAGAGGCAGGAGCACGCCAAAGGAGGCCTTGCTGCAGTTTCAGCAGCACAGTGCTGCTTGGTCCAGGCAGTCTCAGGGGGTGGATGGGGAGGAGCTGTTCAGGGTGTCAAGTGATGGCAATGAGATAAGAAATACTGCAGGGAAATGATTAACCTCAGCTGTAAATACTCTGTTAAATCACCATAAACTGGATGCAGTCATAGCTTAAGATGCTGGAAACAAATGGTCATTTGTTCAAATGCTGAGCAGGACTCCCAAACCACAATTAACATAGAAATGCTCTACCTCAAAGAGCCGGGGCTGCATCCTATTGCTCTTCTGTTCAGAGCGATATCATAGCACTGGAATGTGCTTCACCAACTTGTTAGCCTCTGACCGTAATAAAGCACAGTCATTTTCCATGTGTTTTTGAAAGAAGTGGCTGTGTTGTCAGCAGCAGGGTCTGAACCCTGTGGAGGGAAATTCCTGTGGGGATAGCCTGACTGTGAGCAAGAGAGGTTCAGGACTTGCTGCTGGAAGGAAGGGATTTGGAGAACGGGCTGCATCTTGTGTTTAATCTGGGCCCTCCTCTTGTATGGGAATGTGAATCCTAATGACAGGTGAGGCAGAGGAGGAAAACGGGGTTAGGGGAGGCTCGAGGGCTTCAGCTTGTGTGGATGGAGCTGTGTGCCCCGTGCCAGAGCAGCAGCACATTAAGCTGTCACTGGTGATATGCGTATCCAGCAGTGGGAGATGCCAGAGATTTCTTAGCCAGTAACCTCAAGTCTGGATGACTGATTTCTTTCCCTCTCTCAAAAATCTCTCTTTTTTCAAGGCTCTGTTAAAATCGATCAGGTTTTGGTCAGTGGTGCCTGGAACATGCTACGGACCAGCAATATTCCACCTGCTTTACCTTAATGCTTGGACTTTTCCATTCCCCTGCTGTGGCTGCGTGGTCACCTACCTGGTAATTAGGACGTGCATCTTCAAACAAAAAGCCTTGCTTTCCTCCTGTATATTTATCTGCTCCACAAATAGATTTGCATAGCATTAGAGTGGGATTGACCACTTGGCGTATTTTCTGTTGAGAAACACCATTTCTGAGAGGAAACTGTTTCAATTTATTTCCAGCAAGGATCTGAATGCACCCAGATTTGAGTAGGTCTTGATTTATGTGTGCCTGCACTTGGTTAGCTGGCAGCCCAGGGCTTTACGTGGAGAAAAGCCTCATCCTGAAAATGATTGTTTTAATTTCATTCTCACACTAAAGGTAGAGGATATTAGAAACCGAAGTCTTAATGGATCACGATAAAATATGGAATAACAACTACCCATTACATTTGTTATTGTCTCTTTCTTCTGTAAATCAATATAATTGAATTTCTCCTAACTTCCCCAGTATTGCATGTAGCCGTGTGCAATCACAGGGGACATTGCACAAAGATGAATAAGCACAACACCGTTTTAAATGAGAAAAGCACGCAGTAGCCTTTATGTGAGATTTGTTTTGCAGCACGCTCACGTCCTCTTGAGCCGTTCTGGCTCTGTCCTAGGGGTAGGACTCCTTTCCCTGCAGCAGCTGGGACTTTCTGCATTATTTAGAGGTAAAACACGAACTTCTATCTGCCCAGATTGTCTGAGTCTTGGTAGTTGACGAGACCCTCTACTGAGGGCGTCAGTGAATTGGCTCCCAACTTGTTTGTGCTTGTTTCTGCTTCGCTTTCTCCAGCTGTGTCAGGCTTCTCACCTGACTATTCATTTACTTTCCTTTACCCAAGAGTATTGCTTTCCTTTCCCCTCGGGACCTTTCAAAGGTTGGTCAGAACAGATCAGACCTGTCAGCCCATTTTACAGGGAGAGAAACTGAGGCACAGAGAGAGAAGGGGGTCTTGTACAGGATTACTTGGAGGCAAAGGTGGTGCTTGAAGTAGAGACGTCATTTCTCAAGGTCTGTGCTCTCAGCTCTGGGTTGCTGATAGCCTTTTACAAACGTTTATGC